TTGTCAACGTTTAAGGAGAAATGATAAAAACAAATCTATGGATGCCTTGGTTGGTTAATATATTTTTTGGAAATATTTTGGTTGTAAATCATGTGAATAATAAATTTCCAGAAATGTTAAGAAATTCGAAACTTTCAGTAATGTTCAAAATTATACCTCTGTTTCAACAATTTTAATTAATCTATACAATTCATTGTATGTTTCCTTTAGAGTATTTTTTCATTTAAATGGTGACGACACCACTTGCCGGTGGAGAGCTACAAATTTTGTCCTGTACTCGGCACACAGGGCCATTGAGCAGAAAGGGATCTTTTTCATGCCAGCACCTACTGCGACACGGGGCCTTGTTTTATATGGTCTCATCCTAAGCCGGTCTCCACGTCCCACACTGGGATTCGAACCTGCAACGGATCGACTCCTTACATCGCGACTCTAGAGCAGACGTTCTAACCACTGCGTCCCGCAGGCGACATAAAAAATAAAAAAAATCTATGCAGTAAAACGTAATACCCATATTCCTAAATCACGTTCCTTACAGAAAATTTTACAAAGCCAACAACCGATCCCATATTCATTAAATAATGTGCAGAAAAGGGTTGAAAAATATATACCCACTCCTCCATATATGGAAGCATCCTCAGGTAGAGTACATTCAAATTGGTTCAAATCATTACCCCCGGGGTAGGGCGGGGCCACAATGGCCGACCAAAGTTTCACATAGTAATATATAGGAAAATTCTTTAAAAATCTTCTTCTCAAGAATAGCAGAGCCATAATTGATCGTATTTATATGGAAGCATCCTCAGGTAACTTGTAAATTCAAGTTTGTTTTTTTCCTTTGTTTGTTTGTAGAATTATGTATTTGAATCGGGTTCGATATACGATTAATTTAAAAACGAGGCTTATTTATTCCTTATTCTTGGCAGAGTTTCAAATGACAATCGAAGATTTATTTAATTAGAATTTGGGCATTTTCAGTGAAAGTTAAAAAATACTTTTAAAGTATTGTGCGGCTTTTGTCTGTGTAATGCATATAGCAAGGTAAAATTTACTTTCAATGGCTTTAATTGAGATTAATATTTGACTGTCAGTTTTTCAATGCAACAGTCTTGAATTGTTATAGAAGTACACCAGGTGCATCACTTTACATAAGGAAGGAGAATCAGGAAGGTTTTCTTTGCATATGTATATATTCAATTTTCTTTTAAAATGTTATAGTATTAAAAAAAAATAATTATGGTAAAAATGCAAGTGTTTTGTGATGTTTAAATGCATTTAGAAATAAATTTCAGCAGGTCCGATAATGGTGGTATAATCACTAGATTTAGCTACGTAGCTTGATTTACCTACTTAGCTTTATTTACCTACCTGAGGTAGCTTTATGTAGCTTTATTTAGCTACCAAATAAATTTATATCTGTGAAAAAACATTTTCCTCAGAATGTGCAGAAAAATCTCATTTTGATGCAGTGATCATTTTAAACGTTGAACTCATCTAAAAACAGATTCTTTAAAAAATCACTCATGAAGAAATGTCTTTTACAATCAAAGATAGTTTTGGGGCTATGTATGCATAGGCGTTGGAACCAGAAATCCCTCATTTTTTTTTGCAAAGATAGACAATATATAGGCATTGAAAATTGGGATTTACTTTTTTTGGCTGGTTTAGTCCCCCCTCCCCCCACTTTCAATTTGCTTCCGACACCCATGGTATGACATTTGAAACAGTTACTCCTTGAATGAAATGACAGAGAAGTCCAGTTCTGGTTAAAATGAGCATATGTCTGTAATTATTCAGGCCAATGTGAAGTAATCATATTCAGCCATGCCTAACCACATGCAAAAGAGAGCTAGGACAGTTACTCAAACATTGGAATTACATGTTTTGCATTCATTCGTCCAAATGCAGCAATATATAAGCTATATCTGCTTTGAATTGTTTTTAAAACCTCACTAGTATAAATATTAATAGTCATTTTCTTGTGATTTTTGTCTTTTTTTAATAAAAATGAAATTTTTAAAAAATTGCATTGAAATAGCTAAATAAATGTATGAGGTTGGGAAATAAAGCTACGTAGGGAAAAAAGTACGTCTACAGTATTTCTCCATGTTTTAAAACTCATCTCAAAATATTACTTACCGTGTATTCCCAGCATATTCTTTCACTATTTCCACAACAGAATATTTAGTCATTATAATTTTTGTTTATTGCCCTCCTAGCCCTGCAATTGATATAATCAAAAATTTCGTCTTTTTATACTGCCATTTTGGTCTGCAAGATCATTCAGTCCAACGCGCTGCGTACATATGTCAATCACAAGAATAGAGGGGTAAGAATTTTTATTTTTTAATCTAGCCTTTTTATAATTGATGTAAGACTTAAGAAGAATTGACCAAGAACCCAGCGCGACTTTTTGTGTGCAATGAATACCCGTATGCTGTTTTTTCCAATAGGTGGCACTGTAGCTCTCTGGCATGTCATTATATTTTTTGGAGAGCTACAGTCCTACAGCTATACTAAAAGAGAGAAAGAAAAGAGTCCAACTTTTTTGTTGTGTAAGTTTTCACTTTAGAAAATTTTGAGTGAAAGGCTAATGTAGTAATATGAAGAAATTCGGCTAAAAAACAATTAGCCTCATTCACCCCCTTTACTAAATAGGATTCTTAACTTTTTTGATCTTTTGCCATAACTTTCCAACCATAGGAGATAGAGACTTCATATTTGGTATGCATACTTTATTAATTAAGCTCATACAAATGACACAAAGGTCAACGACCTTGTGACCTTGACTGTAAACTATATGCTTATATATTGTTGCCACCAGGCACATAAGTGTTTCACAATTACATCTAATTTTATGGTCATAAGCAACCTTACAGTGCATGTAAATGTGATGTCATTAAGAACAAAGTGAAAGAAAATGTAACCTTGGCTTTTACAATGAGATTCAATAGGACTTGGGAAATGATGGTTACATCCAATTGTTCCACTCAGATATGTATCAAAATATAAATTTTAGCTTATATTGTTTGTTAACATAGAATATAATTTATTATACCCCAGCAAACGAAGTTTGGGGGGTATACATGTATAGGAAACACCTTGTCCTTCTGTCTATCCGTCCGTCTAGCTGTTTGTGCAAACATGTCCGGTCCATTTCTTTCTTATGGAGGGACATTAGAATCTACTACTCCACACAAAGATTGCCCATGTCCTAAGGGTGTGTCATGACCTTGACCCAAGGTCATTTGGGGAACTTCAAGGTCACTGGAAGAAAAATTTCATAATTCGTGTCTGGTCCATATTTTTCTTATGGATAAAATTGGTAGGTTCTCATTTCACACAAAGATTGTCCATGACTTAAGGGTGTGCCATGACCTTGACCCAAAGTCATTTGGGGGAGTTCAAGGTCACTGGAAGAAAAATTTCATAATTTGTGTCCGGTCTACATCTTTCTTATGGATAAACTTGGTAGGTTCTCATTTCAAGCAAAGATTGCCAATGACCCGAGGGTGTGTCATGACCTTGACCCAAGGTCATTTGGGGAAGTTCAAGGTCACTGGAAGAAAAATTTTATAATTCATGTGTGATACATATCTTTATTATGGAAAAACTTACTTTTGAAAAACCCAGCTGGGGTATTTTGTCCCGTTTGGACAGTTCTAGTATTACATGTCATTAGGTGATATTAAAGGGCAAGCATTTAAAATTTACAAGATAAGTTTCAGGAAACTTATATATATATATAACAATTTAAAACTGGTATCAAATTGGGAAGGTAAAATAAAAATATTTCAACATTTTTTGTCATGATTGGGGAGGGATGTAACATTTTTATTAGACGAGTTTATATGAGAAGGGAATCTATTCATATTAGTTTTTATTTTTGTAAAATAGTGAACTGGTAAGTGCTATATCTATAAAGTTCAGAGAAACTTTTCTTCTGGCTAAACTTTATGAGGAATTGATTACATTATAAAGATTATTTCAATTCGTACATAGCCATGTGTTATTTGTGAACATATTTTAATGGTTTGAAAATAATTGTGACTTTTTTGTTGTAATCTCAAAGATGTATTTTTGTAGATGCCTCGTAAGAAGTACTGGAGGAAGAGCAGTGCCAAGAAAGAGTTACAGACAGACAGGAATGAGGAGACTGGCCTCATGAAAAACAGTAAAACAATGTCTGACCTGGACTTGACTGGGGAGGCAACAATGTCTGACCTGGACTTGACTGGGGAGACTGGCCTCTTAAAAAACAGTAAAACAATGTATGACATTAGAATGACTGAGGAGACTGGCCTCAGAAAAACCAATGTTGACCCTGAGGAGCCTGCCCTCAGGTTACAAAAAAAAAACAGGAAAGCCAAAAAACTTGTGAAATGAATCTGCTGAATGAAATTTCTGAAACAAATACTCAGAGTGAAGTTTGTGCAAAAGATCTGCTTCATGAATCTGATGAAATGAATTTGCAAAATGAAATTGCTAAAAAAAAAGTTTAGTGAACAAAACCTTGACCACTGAATCTTTACAGACTACTATAGCTAGTGTGATAGTTGGAGAAAAAACATTGCACGGTAAGTCTGAAAATGACCAGGTATGTACTAGAAAAATAGTATTTGGGACATTCCATCAAGGGGACACTAGATTTTCATCATTCTCACGAGGTAGTCAGTGTACTTGCAATGCTCTTACCATGCTGACAAAATGTTATGAAGGATTTTCATTTACATCAGAATTTATAGATAGAACTTTAGTATCAGAAGACCAAATTTATGTAAAGACTGTCAAAAGTTTGCAACAAAGGGGAGAGTTTCTCAACAAACTTTTAAATTTTGATGAATTGCCAAAAGAACATTGAAATGGGAGAAAATCATCATGTTATTAAAAAAATTGAAACCATTTGGGGATTGGTTATCTTGGAAGAACAAAACAGGCAGGTTAAAACATTTCATCAGGCTTTAGAAGAGGCATTTCAAGTTTCAAGATATTTACTGATAATGATAGGAGCCATTTGTTCTGCTGTATATAAAGTGTCGGACAGTGAGTATTACTTCTTTGACTCACATTCTCATGACAGTGATGGCATGTCTTCTTGTGATGGTAAATCTGTACTAGTGCTTAACAGGAGTATTGATGATTTAGTGTCTTTTATGTATAGCATGTATAACAGTATGCATATTGATCTTGCAGTGCAGTTGGAAATTTTACCCATCTCAATCGCAACATTGTACCATAGCTTTCCAGAAAATGATCCATTACAGAAAAGGTATTACAGAATGGATAAAAAGCTAAAAGCGACAAATTCAGAATCACAAGATTATCACAGGAAAACCTATATGAGAGAATACATGAAGAAAAAGGGAAAACATTAACAATTTAAACACATTGAAAGACAAAGAGATGCTAACACAAAGAAAATGAGTCGACAAAGTGTTGAAGTGAGAGAAAAAGAGAGAGCGAGATCTGGATAAAGCTGCAAGAAAATTAAAACGACAAAATTATGATGTTTAAGACAAGGAGAACAAAAGGGAAACAACTGCAAGGAATATTGAAAGACAGAATGATGAAGTAGCTATTCCACCTAAAAATTAAAAGAAAGATTTCAACATTGAATTTTTGGTTTCTGAGGTTATAAGTCTGAAAGATGAAAGGTATAAGCATCCTTTTCATTAAATTATACGGAATAAAGTCAACACTGATGCCAAAATATACCCAAACAATGACAACTTCTAGCACCTACGAGAGCTAATCAAGAAAGACAACTTCGATATGAATCTCGAGCGCGATTGAAATAAAGGAGAGATCCAAATGACTGATTTTCATGTTTTCAATAATATTCAATTGAAAAAATAGGAAATATATGATAATTAGTCAAAAATATACTAAATTTACTCCCCTTTATAAACTTGTAACGCTTCATTCTACATAAATCACAACATGACAAATATGTCTCCGATCCCGATGAACATTGATGAAGACACATTTTAAAAAAATATTGTGGGAATTTGTGGGACTCTCTAGAGAATCATTTTAGTCATGAAAAAATCATTAAATATGTTAAAAATCGTTAGAAGTACTTAATAGTACTTAACACTAGATTTTAAATGAATATATGAAAACTTTCGCATATGTTGTGCTATTCATTGAAAGTTCATTTTCTTCAAAGTATCTTTATGAAATGATTGTTATGTACATTAAGAGAAATAATATATTATAAAAACTTCCTGTTACTTACTTAATCAGTTACTTCCAATTGACATTGCTAAGATCCAGTGTATTCACTTTCATATCAATGTTTACTTCACATAACAAATTCGAACGAATTGTGCCTTCCTATATGTTACTATTTTTAGATAAAATGGCGTCAACGGGAATAGCTAGATGAAGTGAGGGAAAAAGAAAAAGAACTGGATAAATCTGCAAGAAAATTAAAACGACAAAATTATGTTGTTAAAGACAAGGAGAACAAAAGGGAAACAACTGTAAGGAAAATTAAAAGACAGAATGATGAAGTGAGGGAAAAAGAAAAAGAACTGGATAAATCTGCAAGAAAATTAAAACGACAAAATTATGATGTTAAAGACAAGGAGAACAAAAGGGAAACAACTGCAAGGAAAATTAAAAGACAGAATGATGAACTGAGGGAAAAAGAAAGAGATCTGGATAAAACTGCAAGAAAATTAAAACGTCAAAATGTTGAATCAAGAGTAAGAGAACTGGAGAAAACTGCAAGAAAATTAAAACGACAAAATTATGATGTTAAAGACAAGGAGAACAAAAGGGAAACAACTGCAAGGAAACTTAAAAGACAGAATGATGAAGTGAGGGAAAAAGAAAAAGAACTGGATAAATCTGCAAGAAATTAAAACGACAAAAATATGATGTTAAAGACAAGGAGAACAAAAGGGAAACAACTGCAAGGAAATTTTAAGACAGAATGATGAAGTAAGTGAGAAAGAAAGAAAAAATGACAAGTCTGCAAGAAAGTTGAAAAGATTAGATTGTGAAGTAAAACAAAAAGAAAATGAAGGAAATAGAATTTCAAAAAGCAAGAGTTGGGAAGATCCTCTTGTTCTTGAAAAAGAACGAATAAAGAAGCAAACTAAACGCAGTGATTGTTCTTACAGGCAAAATGAGAGGTTGGACGATAACCAAAGGAAAGGAGAAAAAAGAAAGAATGAAGAATATTGCAACAAGGAAAATGAAAGAATTAGACAAAGACAGTTTGGAATAAACGTACAGGATTGCATTCACAATTTTCATGAACAGATTAAGCATGGTCCAGTTTTTGTGTGCTCATGTTGTCATCAAACATGGTTTAAAGAAAGTGTTTTAAAAGTAGAAAATACTAAACTTGATGACACAAGTAAAAGCAAATATCTTACGTGTATTACTTTTTTTGATAATTCAGAATGGATTTGCAAGACTTGCTATTCTTCAGTTAGAGAAAGAAAAATCCCAAAGCTGTCTGTCCTCAATGGTATGATATGGCCTCCCAAGCCAAGAGAATTAGATTTGTTTTCATTAGAGGAGAGACTAATATCACTTCCAATCCCCTTTATGCAGATTAGGGAGTTTCCAAGAGGTGGACAATATTCTGTCAAAGGAAATGTTGTGAATGTTCCTGTTGATATTCAACCTACTGTTAATAGATTGCCTATAAAAAGATGGATGAAAATATCACAATTCCTGTTAAGTTGAAAAAAAAAGTTTTTTTACCAAAAATGTTTTTATCATGAAAATGTACGACAAACAAAAGTACTGATTGCATTACAGTGACTTTTATAAGAATGCAAACATTAATGTTGATGATAGCTGGTTCCAAGAAATCACATCTTCTGCAAATGAAATTGTTCAAGAACTAGTGCAAACACAAGCAAAAAGAGATCAAAGTACTGGTAATCTTGAGACCGACGAAGACGATGATGACGATGAGTATTGTTAAGTAGACGGAATTTTTTTAGAGATGGTAATTGTGATACTCTTTTAGATAATGCTTCTCAAGACACGAATCAGATATACACCTTTGCTCCAGGAGAAGGACAACGCCCCCTTAGTTTATATCAAGATCAGATTGCAGAATATTTATCATTTCCAACATAATTTTGTGGAAAGGGAAGATTACAAGACGATGAAAGACAAATACGTGTCTCGTATGCAGATATAGCTAAATGGGAATTGAGAAGTGTTGATAGACGTGCAGCCCAGTCTGTTCCGAATTTGTTTTTAAGTTGAAAAAAAAATACAAATGAAACAAGTTACAGATAAATGCAACCTGGCTCTTCGGAAATGCAAAACCAAAGGAAGATCCATCACAGCAAATGAAATTAAAAATCCTGAACATGTGAATAGCCTTGTTAGACATGATGAAGGTTTTTTTTTGTGTTTAGACAGTTACGAAATTCACCTGCATATCTTGAAACAAGAAAAAAGGATGTATTTGCAATGATAAGACAATTGGGTTTACCAACATGGTTTATGTCTCTGTCTGCTGCAGATACAAGAGGGAATGATCTCATTAGAGCACTTGGAGTGTAAAATGATGGAAAGGAATACACTGATGAAGAAATTGACAACATGATGTGGTTTGAAAAATCAAAACTAGTACAGAAGGATCCTATTACATGCACTAGATACTTTGATCATAGATTACGTATGTTCATGAATTCAGTATTGAGAAGTGACCACCATCTAATTGGTGTTGTGAAAGACTTCTTTTATAGAATTGGATTTCAGCAAAGAGAATCACCACATGTTCATATGATTGTTTGGATAGAAAATGCACGAAAATTTCATAAAAATAATGAACAAGAGATAGTGAATTATGTAGACAATTACTTGAAATGTGAAAAGAATGAAGATGATTTGACTGGCTTACAAGTACACAAACATTCACAAACATGTAAAAAGAGAAGTAAAGCTGTATGCAGATTTGGTTTTCCCCTTCCTCCTCTTGAAAAGAACTTGCTTTGGAGCCATTTGAATGTGAGGTTGACAAATATAGGAAAATGCATGATGAAATTCAGAAACAGTTTAATGATATGAAAAATGGATGCGATTTGTCCTACAAGGAACTCCTAAGCACAGTGTTAAAGATATCTAAGGAAGATTACATTAAATGCATTAGAAGTTCACTGAGAGGTCCAAAGGTTTTTCTAGAGAGAAAGCCATGTGATATGAGGGTAAACTCTTACAACAGTGTAGTTCTTGATGCTTGGAGAGCTAACATTGATATACAGTATATTTTGGAGCCATATGCTTGTGCTATGTACATTGTTTCTTACATAAGTAAATCTCAAAGAGGGATGAGTGATTTACTAAGCAGAGCAGCAAAGGAAGCTAGAGAAGGAAATCTTGACATTAAAAGACAGGTGCGCCACATTGGAAACCATTTTCTCAACAGTGTTGAAGTTGGAGCATAGGAAGCAGCATATTTAGTGTTACAAATGCCAATGACAAAAGCATCAAGAGATGTAATTTTTATCAACACAAGTCCATCAGATGACCAAGTAATTCTCATCAAAAGAGATGCAGAATTAGAAAAATTGACACCAAATTCTACAGATGTGGAATGTAGCAATATAATTAAACGGTATGCAAAACCCAAAACAGCTTAAAGACTGGTGTTTAGCTGATTATGTATCACAACTAGATGTTGTATTCCTAAAAGATGATGAAAAGGAGTTGATTGAAAAGGAAGTGAATGATGATGATGATAAGAAGAATATGTCAAATGATGAGGAAGAGAATGATTCACATCTTGACTTTGGTGAAAGTGATACACTTGTTACTTTGAGAAACGGCATAAAAATTAGACGACGAAAAGTGCCAAGGGTAATTAAATTATCAAAACGGATCCAGAAAACTACTACACAGAAAAGCAATGTTGTTTTTGCCTTGGAGAGTTTAGTCGGTTGATCTAATATCTGGAACTCACTCATTTGAGAAATCCTTTAATCGTAGGAAATCCTTTTTAACAAACAAAGTCAAGGAATATGAATACAATGCTGAACAGCTTGATGCAGCTCTGCAAATGGCAAGTGAGGATTTTTCAGAAGCTTATAATGAATTGGCACCAAATGCTCAACAAACAGAAGGAGAGGATGAAAATGAAGGATCTCGTGAATCTGAGAACTTTGTCCCATTTAATCCTGAGAGACCAGTTGAACAAAGACAGTATGATTTAGGTTCTGATATAGGCATTCCATCAACAAGACAAATAACAGAAGACAGTTCTGTTAGATTATCAGACAGCGAATACTTGCAACTTTTAGGAAATCTAAATGTAAAGCAGCGGGAATTTTTTAATCATGTTTTGCAGTGGGTCAAAACAGAGAAAGAACCTATTTATACATTTTTATCTGGAGGTGCTGGTGTTGGCAAATCTGTTTTGATAAGGGCACTTTATCAAGCTCTGCACAGATACCTATGTTCCACAGAAGGTGAAAATCCAGATGACATAAGAATACTTCTGTGTGCTTATACTGGCAAGGCGGCATACAACATTGGAGGAGCAACTATAGCATCTGCTTTCCATCAAATAATTAATCAAAGTCAACAAAGTTTGCACTCTGACGAATTAAAGACTTTTTGTACAAAGTACCAAAACCTGAAAGTAATCATTATTGATGAGATATCAATGGTAGGAAACAGATCATTAGCACTCATTGACAGTCGTCTACAACTTTTCACAGGCATCAAAAAACCATTTGGTGGTATAATTGCTGTTGGTGATTTTTTCCAATCATGATGCTCATGCTCTTGCAAGCAATCTTTGGAAGGAGCATTTTTCCTTTTTTGAGTTGGAAGAAATCATGCGCCAAAAAGATGATATTGAGTTCGCTCAACTTCTGAATCGCCTTCGTTACAACGCAATGACAGCAGGAGATATGAATGTGATACACAGATGCATGATAACAGAAACAAGTGACAATTATCCACATCATGCTCCTCATCTCTTTACACAGAATTCTAAAGTAGACGCATACAACAATCAGTTGATTGAAAATCTTGGAGGAGAAAAGGTCACAGTGAATTAATTTGATTCTGTTATTAAAGATTATTCAAAAGAAGTTAAGGAAAAACTGCTAAGATTTCTTCTTAAAGCAAAACTGCCAATTTGATGCAAAATTTGATTCTTACTGTTGGGATAATATATGATATCTCCGTCAATGTTGACGTATCTGATGGTTTGACAAATGGTTCATCATGTAAAGTGCAATTAATTGAAAGGAGAATGTAAGGTATATCAAGGCCAAGCATCGTTTGGGTGGAATTTTTTGACTCTGGAATTGGAAAAACTACTCGAAGGAAATACAGACATTTATTTCATGATGGAATTTCTGAGAACTGGACACCCATTTTTGAAGTTCAACGGTCTTTTCTTTTGAATTACAATACTTTTCAGAGAATCCAATTTCCATTTCGGCCAGCTGCAGTAAAAACAATTCATAGAGCCCAAGATTGCACAGTTGATGAAATTGTAATTGATTTGTCTCAAACAAAAGTGAGAAAAATTCCCCACATCGACTATGTAGCACTTAGTCGAGTAAGGTCAGTAGATCATCTGCATATTCTAAACTTCAATGAGCAGGCATTATATATGGATGAATAAGTCGTAGATGAAATGGAAAGAATGAAAAAAGAGGTGCCACTCCAACTTTGTTATGTCCCAATATACCAGGTTGATTTGCATCGTTTAAAAATTGCTTTTAACAATTGTAGATCTCTTAACAAACACTTTCCACAAATTCAAAATGAGCCAAACATTCTTGCTTCAGATGTAGTTGGATTCTCAGAGACAAGATTAACTAGTGCAGATGTGGAAAATTATCAACTTCACGGATACACAGCAATACTTAACCAT